AGAAATGTTTCTTAAGCAGCAAATCAGCATATCAGAATGATTTCTGAAGGATCATGCGACAAATTCAGCTTTGCCATAAATGACATTTTAAAATATACTTAAATACAAAACCGATATTTTAAATTGTAATAATATTTCACAATATTACTGTATTTTTGATCAAATAAATGCAGCCTTAAGAGCATAAGAGACCTCTTCCAAAACATAAAAACATGATCTGATCCCAAATCTTTGATAGTAGTGAATATACTGGTGTTTTTAATATTTATGAATTATATTTATAAATTAATATTGATTATTTATGACACTTACAGTCATCAAAAATAGCAACCTTGGACAAAACAACATTGGACCCCATTAATTTTCATTGCACGGACATCTATACTTTCAACGTTATAGGTTCAAATCACTTATCTTAAGTACAAACCAATAATAATAATGGTGCTTAGCAAGCTACAAATTATGCACTCACTCTACACTGCACTTGAAACTCAAGGACTAGCCATTTATAAAAGCAGTGAATAGTATGTAGTGTGCTGTGTGTGAACGGTCCTCCACACGTACACTATTGTGAATCGCAAAGTAATAAAACTGCATACATGCTTTGTTCAGCTAGCCGTAATAGCCTTGAACTCAAACATGCAGCATGAATCAGTCCTCAGCTAGTCACGTATCAGAAATCCAGCATTAGAGATTAGCACTTAGTGGTTAAAAATACCCGTGCTCCATTAACACGCAAGCTTTAATCCTCTTCGACTTGATCTCCGTGATCTCGTGCTGATGAGCACATGGGGCCTGCTAATTTCAACTCAAAGTCACTTTCAAAACGTATGGCTCAATCTAATTATGATATTTAAAAAATGCATCATCACACGCTGGATGGAGTTTGTCGTCTCTTAATTGTGGTTGATGGCTTGGCCAAAGTCTTTAGTGGATTGATTAGCTCGTGTATCTGGAGTTAATGTCATTAGCGCAGCTGTAGGAAAACTGGCTCTCGCTTGCGACTATTAGCTAATCTTGGCTAAGACTGCGTGCTGACCACATTTCTCATTCTAAATGGATGACTGAAAGCCCACTGTTGGTAACCGGCGATGCTATTTGCTAACATCAACCAGTTCGGTGAAGATGTGCTGCTTTTAGCTTTGACTGAACTGCTCCAGTGAAAGCTTGGCATGACTGTTGTTTATCTGTTGCTAGTGTATCATGATCACAGATTAGCCTTCTTTAGTTTCAATGTCATTAAAGAGTCTTAACATCATTCTGCTTTTTAAAATGTTAGAAAATGCATTAATAATAAAGATTACCTATGATCTTCTAATTGCACACACTAGCATTTTGCGATACACTGGTGCTAGGAAATTATGTTGTAAGTTTAGTTTATTTTTTTTATTTGTTGTACTATTTTTTTTGTAAACTTTGCTACCTGACCAGGATAAAAATGTGCTGCTCTATCCATCCATCCATCCATCCATCCTAATGTATTTGCTACTCTTTTTGTCACTCTATATGAAGAGTTTGGTTCCAAAACCCTATAAATCCAATAAAAATAAATAAAAGTACATTCAATCAGTCATCGATCCCAAAATGAATTCAGCGGGTCATCTTGTTAATGCTATAAATTAATTACAACAATAAAAGAAAATTTCATCATGAACATACATGAACAACAATATCACATTAAACCACAGAAATTCCAAAATGACATTTCCCTTACATTCAACTTCCAAAAGTGCATTAATCTTTGCCATGTTACATTCATTTAGTTGACTAGTGCTATACGCTGTATTAACAAAAACATTAATGGCATAAATAAAAACACACTGACAAGCTACGCAATATCACGTTCATAATCGAATGTGACTCATCTGCGATTATGAACACGATATAGCAGTGATCTATGGCTCTGTGTATTAAATGTTCCATCTGAAAGCACGTGATGGAGATTTACTACTAATCACAGAACCGGCTTTACTGACGAGATGCGCATGACAATCACATGCGATTTATCGTGCAGCCCTAATTTTTTTGTTTGTTGATCACAAAGTACAAAATAGATGAGGAAAACTAGGAAGCCGGGTGTATTCAAAGCGCCGCCATTACTGTCTCGAGTGCATGGAATGGTGCGCTGTGATTGGTTGTTACTGTTTACAGTGCGTGGAATGGTGCGCTGTGATTGGTTGTTACTGTTTACAGTGCGTGGAATGGTGCGCTGTGATTGGTTGTTACTGTTTACAGTGCGTGGAATGGTGCGCTGTGATTGGTTGTTACTGTTTACAGTGCGTGGAATGGTGCGCTGTGATTGGTTGAGTGGATATATCGCATTCTGCAGAAAAGGGAGACTGGCGTTTGTCACGGTTTGGAAAAAAAAGGGAGAAAACATGACAGAATAACTCGGCAGATTTCGCATTTTGCGTAAAATTAAAAATGGACTTTTCAACACTGACCAGATACAATACTGATTTTGGTGGAAACTCAATTTAAAAAAAAAAAAAAAAAAAAAAAAAAAGGCGTTTATCGCGTTTTGGAACCAAACTCTTTATATATTACTTCAAACTATTTTAAATTTTCAGACATGGCTTTGTCAAGCCAGCGTAAACTTTGTCTTTCAAACTTCTCAATCTAGTTATCACTGAAACTTTGCAAGTATGAAATATCGTCATAATATTTTTGTATAAACATTGAGACAACCATCATGTAACCAATTTTTAATTAGGCTACATGTCAACGAAATAAACTGCCAAACCCAAAACTATAATTTTATTTTTATTTAATAGATTAATAAGTGAAATATTTACATCTAATTATTATTGATACCAAGGTAGGCTACCAGAGGTCAGTGTTGTATATTATGTATGAATTAAGCCTGAATGCACATTACAAGACAGTAGCTGTGGTGTGCAACTAGTCTGCAACAAAAAGTCACAGATGCTACCATAAATTTGAAAACTTAAAACCCAATTTTAAAGAGAAATCTTTCAAATCTAAAGAGAAAAGCAATGAACAATATCCACTGAAACTGCAAGACTAAACAGCGCAAATGGAGGGTGAGGCAGTGGGAAGTGAAGTCAATTAAGAAAGAAAAAAAACCCAACAAGCCATCAAAGTGTCCGCTCAACTGCTGCCCACGTCTCTCCAAACTATTTTTCAGCTCTTTCCCCCACAAAAACTACTGCAGGCACATCCTTGTTGTTTGTTGACATTGTCAAGATTGAACTTTTGAAGATTAAAGACCTGAATTTTTGGGATAGTACTGTAGCTACAATCGTAGAGGATAATACTAGTCTTGTAACTGACGCACATAGTTGAGTAAAGTTTGAGACGACATGACAGAACCCTAATTATGAATCTGTAAATGTGCGTAGGATGACAAGCTTCTTTTGTAATGTACTCTTGGCCTTGCCTGCAAATGAGAATTGTCATGAGCTGAGAGAAAATAGATTTTCACATTTAAAAATACTCCATCCTGCCATAATCAATAAAAAACAACAACACATCAAGCCTAAACAAGCAACAGCCAAATGTATTTTCTTTGTAAACAGAAGTTTAAAAATACCAGCAACGGCTGCCAGAAATCTCAGAGGATGCGTCCTCAAACCAGCATGGAAACTTGGACATCAGCTTTGGAATAAATAGCTAAAAGCGATGCATTATGCAGTCTGTCATTATCTTGGGTTATCACAGTTAAGTGGAGGTTAGGATGAAATTAATTTGATTTTCATTTCGAGCTCCTCAATTTGTGCTTCCTGTATAATTCTGCTTTCCCAGCTACATTTAGTTTATTATCGCCATCTCTTTCCTGCCTCACCTTTCTGTGGTTCTTTCTTCAAACATGAGCTTGTTTAATTACTTATGGTGTGTGTTTAATTAGGACTGGGAAAGAGAGAGACTTTAGAGTCTCTAAAGAATGAAGGTGAAAAGACTGATAGCGAAATCTGGCTGAGCACTTAAAATGCGAACCCACAAATACATTTGTGCACCTGCAGCAGAGAACAAATACAAGAACACGATCTCTGACTGCACTGTTCTTTCTGAAAGCTTTGTTTTCTTTTATAAAATACAAAAAAAAAAAAAAAAATCAGAACGTGCACGGCAACAGAAGATTACAGACCAAAGCATGTAAACAACCAAACGTGGAGAAAAAAATAATTATAGTACCTCATCCAATAACATCTGTGAACATCCTATGGAAGCAAATTTACCATCATTATTTGTTTCTAACAAGGGATGGCTAACTTATTTTCTTTTTTTTTGATCCCAAGGCCATTATCACAGATTTACTTTTTTTTGCTTAATGCATTACTTAATGCTTAACTTTAGACATGTTTATATTAACATTAACGTTAGATTTTAAAGTAAAACAACCGCAAATTATTATCATTCGTTAACAACTATAAAGTATATAGACATGATATTTTGGACAATTTAAGACTTTTCATTTAAATGTGAATGTTATAATATTATTAAGCTATAACAATGAAACAAATTAATTTATGAAAAAATTTCTATTTATTAATATTGTACCAGTATTTTATTTATTTTAATTTTTTATTACAATTATTACATTTGTACATTGATAATCACTCCAGGTGATTCTTTCTATATTGTATTTCAAATAAATGCTGCACTTCTGAACGTTTGAATAAGCATGGAAAAAAAATATTAAGCAGCACAACTGTTTTCAACACTGATAATAAGAAATGAGCACCAAATCAGCATTTTAGAATGATTTCTGTAAAAAAAAAAAAAAAACACTGAAGACTGGAGTAATGAACACTGAAAATTCAGCTTTGCAATCATAGGGATAATTTACATTTTAAATTATATTTAAAAACACGGTTATTTTAAATTGTAATAATTTTACTGCATTTTTGCTGAAATAAATACATGAACGTATATTATGCATTGTCTATTGCCTGCACTGTAAAAAATGATTGTTAACAGTCATTTCCATACTATATTCGGTGAATAAATGTAATTACATTTAATGTAATTTTACAGCAAGTTTTTAGAAGTGAAAAAGAAAAAGTCATTGTATAATTTACAGTGACAAACCGTAAATTGACACTCCCAGAATTCCCTGCATGACACTTCATATTTGATGTTTTTTTAATGTTGTTAAATTAATGTTTATTGCATTATTTCAGTTTCATGTGTCACCATGATTGGGTTTAGTGTTTGTGTGAATGACACTGTGTGCACCTTCGATATATAAGAACTAGCTCGTAGAAAAGCTGTTTGTGATGAGCTTTGGTTCATCATGTGACTTTCTCATCACCACCCGTTTTTGGTGGTTATCAGTGCATTACAATGGTTCAAAACAGATAGTACTTCAATATGTTGGTTTATTAACATTACATCAGTTAATGAAATACGGTATTTTATTGTGAATTTAAGTTAAGCCTGTAAAACCTAAAATGTTGCTACCATATTTTTTTCGGTGAAGTTCTGGCAACCACAGCTGCCGGTATTTTACTGTAAATGTCACAGATTTTTATTTTTTTTTTTACAGTGTGCCGCATTGTAACTCCATGGTAAGCGTCTCCTGTAACTGTGCTTTTTTGATATTTAATGTACTGTGATTATGCTTTTTTTTTTTAAACCCCCAAGGATAAATTATTTTCTGTGGTTATGCCACAAATGCTGTCGATAGAGGAGAAAATATGACCACATAGAAAGAG